CTACACACTTTATAATTTTGACTTTATGATGCAAAATGGGACCACCTACAAATGATAAGTTAGTGAACAGTTAAGGGTATGTTTGGATACAAATATATCGCGATTTCTAGTTAACTAACGTTAATTTAGAAAAAAGTAATATGGTTAATTATTAATGAGATTTTGATTTTATATTAAAATATATTTATAATAAAATAATTAAAAATTTATTTGATGTAAAAATAGAAAAATTGATGAGAAGTGATAGTTATTTAAAATTATGTTAGTGGACAAATAGTAAATTAAAATTGATGTGATTTGTAAGAATGATTGGTGAATATTATTTAATTATATTGATAATATTGAGGATAATAGAATTAAGTTAAAATTAAGTTAGATTTTAAGTATGAATCAATTTTGAATAAAGTAAGCTAATATACACAAACACCCTAAGTCACGTTCGAAAAGTAATGATTTCAAAAAGGGCACTCAGTTAAGCTTTTTGACACATGAGGATTTGAAATCAAATACGTATCACCCAAATCATACAAACAGCACTCATATACACGATTTTAAAATCTAAAGGTCAAGAACTATTATGACACCTAATTACATCTATATGAGTCTAAATTACACATTCTTTCGTACTAATATTTCAATATGGGTCCACCCATGACAACTATTTACCATATATAATAATCTAGCTTCTATAAGACTATATGTCACTAATTGTACACAATTAAATTCTCCATCCAATTAAATTTGATTCTCATAATAAGTATTGATGAAACCTCGGAAACATCATTGGAAATGATCAAATATATGCTATGCTTGGATATAAGTTTACAATCGGTTTCAACAAATCGACTACCGATTTGAACAATTGGACGTGCGTTTCACGGATTTGTTTGCCGATCTTTCGACGGAGATCGAGAATGTGCATTTGACGCTTAACAACATGATTGTTTCGGAATTGCAGACGAACCGCGATGATGCTGTGGGCCGTGGTTTTCACGGGGGAGACAGAGGCGGTTGTGGGGGACGCAGCCATGTCGGGGCGCCCCGGTAGCGATCCCCGCCACCTCTGAACGGCATCAAGGATGGTGACTTTACCTGGTCGGCTAACCCGTTGGTAGAACGACCACCATGGCGAGGAGACGAAACCACCAGTCAGCCCCGAGTTCGCGAGCAACGGCGGGCTGAAGGTAGTTTCGTACATGGAGGCGGATTTTGGGCGTGTGAAAGAGACGACTCCAGTTGCACTTCTAGGCCTCACAAAAGCATTTTTTGGGCTTGTGAGGGTGATGTCGTTTTTGGGCCTGCACCCAATTCAATTTATTGGGCTAAGGGGAAGGATGGATTTAATCCTTATTTTGGGCCTGAACAGCCACAAACAGGCTTTGACTTCGAGTTTATAGATTACCTGAATTTTGAGCCCGACACGTGCGATATATACGACGGTCCGTCAATTTTTGATGAAGAGCCTTCGGTGACGAAGACATATTTTTGCAGTAATATGGATCCCGCGTAGGACGTCGCAACTGTTGAGTCTTCGAATGGGCAACCGTCATTCACACCCGATTTTTTGAGTATTTTAGCCAAAGATGGTTTTTCGGAGCTGAAGCCGAGACTCCATAACTGGTGGGCCATTTTTCGATTGTTGTTCCCGAAGTCTCCCAACACCGGGATGCTTGGCCGTAGTTATAGATTTATGTGCGGTGAACGATGTAGTCTGTTTTGTGTTCATTCGATTGTGTGGGCTTTGCGTCGGGTGTCGTGTACATGTGACTTTGTGGCAGTTGAATCCTTGACCGAGATTATGTTTACCCTCGAGATTGTTGGACGACTTTCAACCTTCGTGTTCGATCGGGAAAACGTTCGAGTTGTTGCTGTGTTGAGGACGTCTACAACGGGAACGGGTCGGATTCGAGGACGAATCCTGCTCAACCGGAAGAGAATGGCGTAGGCTAATTATTATTATTATTATTATTGTTATTATTATTAGTATTCTTATTATTATAAAGAATAAGCTATGGTATTATTTGATGCTTTATTTAAAGGGATCTTAGGCTTTGTTATGGTTAGTTGATTATTGAATGAAATATGAAGTGATTGTGAGTTTTATTGAGAGAGTATCCCGTTTATCTTTCTCACTTGTACGCTTTCCTACATAAAAAAGTTAATTAGTCAAAGATGGACTAATTCCATAAATAAATAAAAAAAAAAGTCAGAAATCGCATGTGAGATCATGCGGAATAATGATTCGTCACAGAGCGAAGACCACAATGTATTGATTCCCATCGCGGAGCGTTACCCTTCATGTAGCAGCGACACAAGTTTTTTGGTGTGTAACTCTTGTTGTGGGCGCTATCCGAGTTGTACCTGTTGACTACCAAGAGCTTCCGCTCGACCAATTGCGTCTGTTTCCTTCCAGACTCATTCAGAAATGAGTTTTTTTGCTAAGAACTCTTGCGGACCTTCTTAATATACATGTAAATACCTCTAGAATGAAATCATTTTGTTTCCACTTGATACATTGACCACAAAGATAACATAATGTAGTTAGAAATAAGATTTCATAAGCTTATTGTATACATATTCTCCGTTCATTTCTTGAGTGTACCAAACAGAAGTAGTTTCTCTGAAATCTAGTGCATTTAAAGTGTGACTTAAACGAGATAAAAAAAATGTTATTCCTTGGAGATGTTGAAAAACCGTGAGCATAAATTTATGACAATTTCATCTTACGAAGAGCGTGTTTCACGTGCCTCCAATTTGTTTATTTATATGAATACTATGTTCGAGGATTATAATATTTTGGTGGTGGCCCGCCTAGCCCATGGCCCACACGGGATTGGGTCGGGTTGCCCTTTCACAGACGCGCCCCGCCCCGCCCCGCCCCGCCCGCCAAACTTCGAGTTTTGGTGGGCTACGAGCCATCCTGCCACACCTGCTCGGTTTGACATGTATATACTTACTCCTACAACAACATACCTCCCATAACTATAAAACTCATAAACCTTTGAATTTATTGGTCTCACATGTATCCCACCTACTTTCATTTAATTTTATACTTGTATGTATTAATTAATATTTTACTCCAACCTATATTCGTTATTTTAAACTGAGATTTTTATCATAAGTAATATATTTTTATTAAAAAATTATTATAATATTTTAGTAAAAAAAATTAGGGTACTTTTACAATTTCGAAAAAAGAAAAAAGATAAATACTATTGCACATAAAAGTTACGATGAAATAAAACATTGATTAACCAAATTATTGCTCTTGTTAATTAGGTGCATTTCAAATATGCTCAACTGGATCGTGCCTAAGTTGATGATGGACTTAGACATGGCCACGGGTCAACCGGCCCGCCGACCCGGCACGGGCCCGGCCCGGTCAAACTCGTTGACCACGGGTCCGAGCCCGGCTCAGATTTTAAACCGGGCCGGTTCAGGGTCGTCTTTTTTTCAACACCGACCCGACGGGCCGGGCCGGGTCCGGTTCGGCACGACAAAAATTAATTGTTTTTGAATTTTTCTATTTTTTTCTTTTTTTTTTTTTAATTTTTCCGGGTCAGACCCGGGTCGGGCCCAACCCAGCACGGGTTTAGGGCGTGCCGGTTCAGGGTCGACAAAACCCAACCCTTCGGCCCGCCAGGCCGGGCAGGGCCCTGAACCGGCCCGCCATTTGGCCATGTCTAGATGGACTTGTCAATCTTGCATTCCGGTTCTTATTTGTTGAAATTTGATCAATTAACCGCTTTCAAAAAAATAAATTATTCCGCTAGTGAAGAACATTCATCATAAAGAAGAAGCTGACGAAGAAGCAGAGACATAACAGGCCTATCCCTTACTGGATCCGCACCGGCAACACCATTCGCTACAATGCCAAGCGCTGCATGAAGCTCGGCTTCTGAGTATGCTCGAACTCGTTTTTCCCCTTTTCAATTATTCCGTGTTTTATTTTCCCGAGAAGCTAGCTAATGACTCTTTTTCCGCTTGAGGAATTAGATAGTTGATGTTGTGTAAGACTTTAATTTCAGGATTTAGTAATATTAGTACGTACCCCGTGCGATGCACGGTAGAGAAATATTAAATAAATTATTTTCACAAGCTCTGTCCATTTAAGTCTGAGAAGGGTTATTATCTATTTTCCACCTATTTTAATCACCGTTAAGTCTCATTTAAGTCTGAAAAGAGTTATCATCTATTTTCCACCTCTTTTGATCACCTTTAAGTCTAAAAAAAATAGGGTTGTAATCTATTTTCACATCTTTTAATCAACTTTGTTTTATTAGTCGGAACATTAAACGTGAGCATGTTAGGGCTAACTTGTAAAATAATTAATGTATTATCTCACTAACAGATTTATATTAATATAAATTTAATTTTATTATATATATTTATTCCTTGATATAAGAGAAAACAACAATTTTACTTATTTTTATTCACTATATAATAGTTAATTATTAAACTCTGTTGCCATATAATGTCATTATTATTTATAAAGTTATACAAGTTGCACGTCTTCTTGTTCTTTTTATTTTATGTAATGAAATATATTTAATGCACGTTGGTATTATTTATATAAGTAATCAATTTAAAATATGTAAATAAAATTTAAAATTAAATAGTGTATAAATAATATACAAAATATACACATATATTTTTTTAGAATTTAATTTTGTATATTAATTAAACAACTTTGATTTAAGAAAAGCCATGAACTCAATCTCTTCTAATATCAATATTTTTCTAATTTGCATTGTAATGATTATTCTTATTATATATATAGATTAGAATTTTTGCGACACCAACCAAACTAAATATCACAACAACCAAGTAACAATTATGAAAAAAACCCCTAACACAACAACTATCAATTAAATTTGGTAATAGAAAAATTACATACATTTATATAAAAATATGAGGATTCTATATTTCTATTAACTAATGTATACACCACGTGTATATTTTGTAAGGTATATTGGAATGTTCAATTTCATAGCATGATAATGATCAGTCTTTAAAAAATCGAAAATCTTATTGAAATGCCATATTTTCTGTTAAAAAAAAATTCCAAAATTCCCATAAAAAATAATTATATCATAGAAAATTCATTGTGTAATTGAACAAATTTCTATAATGAAGCCCGATTTTCTGTACAAAAATAAAGCAACAACTTCCATATTTTAAGGAAATCAATTAATGTTGGCCCGTTTTTGCTAAGAAAATAATAAATAAATAATTTATAATTAATAGAAAGTAATTAATGACGAGAGAATTTGACCATATCTGCTTTTAAAAATCGTAACAGAAAAATAAATATTAAATAAATTTGTATAATACGGAAATAGTAATGACAATAAATGTTGTTGACTTTTCTAACTATTAAATTTGATAAATAGGACTCCCTTTAATATAAATATAGATTTAAAACTCTTATCACGATTGAAAAAAAAAATTACTTTTAAATATTTTGAATGCCACATAAGATCTAGTATGTTACGATAACCATTGGAAATGCTATGAGTTGGCTCGTGAAATCTCACACGATTTAACCCGAACTTGATTCAGATCCAGATCGCGTTTGAGGACCAATGCGCCAGGTCTCAAGATGTCGACATGAAGAGGTTTTGCGTCCTCTAGACCAATCAGATTCTGCCACGACTAAACTCAACCACTTACAAATCTCCACGTGGAAATCCACGTAATATGCAATACCCCTGCTTCCGTCCCTCTAATATTAACTAATAAAGTAACTGACAGAGCCAACGGAAAATCGCATTGCATTCCCGGTGATTGGAGAAAGAATCTGCACGGCGGCGATCTGGTGGTTTCCGTCGATTCTTCTGCTGCGATGGAGTTTCACGGCGCCGGACTCCGCCGCGTGTTTCTATTGACATTTTGTGTCGCCGGAATTTGGGCCGCGTATATTTATCAAGGCGTCCTTCAGGAAACCGTGTAAGCATTGCTTTTTAATTACTCTCTTAGCTCCAATTACGTAGTAATTGAGTTTTGAGGCACATGTTATGGTAATCTGATTTAGGTCGACGAAGAGATTTGGTCCTGATAGGAAGAGGTTTGAGCACTTGGCATTCCTGAACCTTGCTCAAAATGTAGTGTGTTTGATATGGTCGTTCGTAAGTAAGTCTGTGATATACTCAATGCGTGCCAAATTGTTTGTTTTTGCTAAGTACTCCGTTTCTTACTTGTGCCGGTATGAAATTTTTTGGAGTAGTGATTAAGATTTGGTCCGATAGTGGAAATGGCGGTGCTCCATGGTGGAGTTATTGGAGCGCTGGTATTACGAACACGATTGGTCCAGCTATGGGGATTGAAGCTTTAAAGTACATTAGTTATCCTGCTCAGGCATGTTCATGATCCTACACGTTCTTGCATTTCTTTGTATTCTGCTACGCCTTGATGTTACATTAGAAGTAGACACTATTCTAGGTTTTTCTGTTAATTTATTGTATTGCACATGTGACTGAATTGGTTTATACTTATGTTAAGCAAGCATTGTCTAGTTTCCCAATAGTGATGGGCTAGAATATTACCTTCTACTATCACTTTCCATTCATTTCAAGTGTAGTGAATGATACGAAGTTCAATAATCTTATTTGTAGAAGCTCTTTCTCTTGATGTGAAGTATACTTTCCCTTCTTGTTTAATGTTTTCTTTTGCATTGATGTAATTTTCAATCCTCGCATGTAAGTCTGAAATTCATGTGTTTAATGGCCGAGGTAGTTATTTCTGGTCGTGAAGCTTTTTACAAATCCATGATTCCTCCAAATCTGACCAGCCTGATTTATTTACTATCTAAAAAAAGCGCGTTTGTGTAAATGTTACGTAAGCTTAAGCTTTGAGTGGTATAGAGTGATGCAAGCTATCTTGTGCTTCTTGCTAAAGTCGTTGGCCAGTCCTTTCTTAAATGGTTGGTTTTATTTATAACGTGATCGACATAAGTAGATCAACTTATGTCAACTTGACATTCAACTGGTGGTGATCCAAGTAATTTGAACAACAGCAAAATTGATGTATTTCATTCTCTATGATCAAAGCGATTAATTGATAGTTTGAATCAGCTTTATGGTTACAAGTAAACACTTCAGCTATTACGGACTAAAGTTGCTGTTGTTATCTGTAGGTGCTGGCAAAATCTTCAAAAATGATTCCTGGTAAGCAATTGACAAAATGTTTCCCTTTCTAGACCAGTTAATTCACTCACCTTTGTAGAGTCTAGCATGCTGAGCCTTGTTAGAGGAAACTCTCTTGTGTAGCCATATATGGTCTTGGAATTTGATAATGAGCAACGGACAGATATTCGGACTTATTTTACAGCTTTTTTTCTTTCTGTGAAAGATTGGTGAAATGTATTTAACGTACCCATTATGTTTTCTAACACAGAAAGTAAGGAATAAAAAGTAAGATCTGTGTAAGGCCATGAAATTTTGTAAATTTCTTCTATTATGGTAATTTTGAGTAATTGTATGAAATTAAAACTTTTCTAGCTGTCTCTTATTGATACCCATCTCTGTTGTCTAGTGATGCTGATGGGTACATTAGTTTACGGGATTCGGTACACCTTTCCTGAGTATGTCTGCACATTGCTTGTTGCTGGTGGCGTATCCACTTTTGCACTTTCAAAGGTTAGTTCTGTGCATGCTTCTGCCTTTCTTTTGCATGTCTTTCAACTTCACTTCTTGAGGCATTGTATGGATAGAAACTGTAATGACTTCCAGCAGTGACTTAGGACCAGTTTATGAGCTCACCAAACATATCATTCTGCATTCAGGTAATAAGAAAACTAGAAAGAGATATTTTTAATATGAAAATAACATAACCAGTCTCTTGCCGTATTTATGCCCAATGTATTGTTTTGTTCACCATGTTCAAATGCATGCCATTGAGGAACAAATATCTACTCTGTCTTTCACAACAAATATGCAATCTACAGCATGTGGTTTGTCGAGTCATCACAATATTTTAGATCTCATAATATTGAAGATCCCGCTTCTTGATTTAATCTTGCCTTTCTTTAACATATCTTTCCTTGCAGACTAGCTCGAAGACTATAAGCAAGTTGGCGCACCCGAATGCTCCACTTGGATATGGACTTTGTTTTCTGAACCTTGCTTTTGATGGTTTCACTAATGCCACTCAGGATTCAATTACTGCCAGGTGAACACACACAGTTTTCTTCTGTCAAGTGCATTAAAATGAATATTGCAACTGACGTACGCATTACAATTGTTTGAATACTAATGCCCGTTTTGTCTTGAACTCGTGTCGTCCGTATTTCAATTTTGCGTCATACACCACATCCCCCCACCCAACACCATAACAATAATGTATGAACAGCCTTTCTCGTGATTAATTGAGAAAATTGAATTTCATTCAGGTATCCAAAGACAAATGCGTGGAATATAATGCTTGGAATGAACTTTTGGGGCACCATATACAACCTGGTTTTCATGTTCGGCTGGCCAGGTGCCATTGGGTACGATGCACTACAATTCTGCCGGAACCATCCGGAAGCTGCCTGGGACATACTCCTCTACTGTCTTTGTGGTGCGGTTGGCCAGAATTTCATCTTTTTGACCATAAGCCGGTTTGGTTCCTTGACTAACACAACCATAACAACAACTCGGAAATTCGTGAGCATAGTTGTGTCGTCTTTGCTAAGCGGGAATCCCCTGTCCGACAAACAATGGGGAAGTGTGGCTATGGTGTTTTCAGGATTGTCTTATCAGATTTACATAAAATGGAAGAAAATTAGGAGGAGTCAGAAGAAGAGGAAGTCGACGTAAGCCAGAGACTGGTTGGCTTTCGATGTGAGACGAAGATGTAGTGATTTTTTTTTCCCCACTTTCTCAGGGTGAGATATTGATGTGGACAGTGAGGTTTTAGTGGTTATTGACTTATATTGCTAGTATAGAAATTCACTTGGTAGTTATAGATTGTTATACAAAGTATACCACAAATGGATGGAAAGTTTTGGTATGCCCTTTTTTTTTTTAGTTTTGTTTCGGTCCGCACTAGTGTATGCATGACAGAAGAACGGTATTTTCTTGCTATGGGATTTTGCATGATCAATTTGAGGCTGCTGTGTATGGATCATGAAAATAATTGAAAGTCACAAGTAAAAGAATGCAGTTAGGAGAATCAGGTCGATCGAACTCAGGCACAAGTCAAAGTTAGTTGTGGACCGTATGCTATACCTAGATAAAATATCCAAAAAGATTCCACCAAAAAAAAAAGACAAAAAAAAAAAAAAATAATTCGTTGGGGAAAGTGTTGGACTTGAGAGTGTAGGAAAGTGCCAGTTAGTCAGTCTGTACAATCGGAAGAGCATATGATCATGGTTGGGTGTTTGAGTTGAAATATTACATATTTGAACCACTTAGCTTATACTATCCTACTTGATCCAAAGAGCTTACGCTACAACCCGAAAAGTTCTTTTGGTTCATTCGTTCATTCATGGCTTTGATTGTTTTAAAGTAGGGGTCAGACGATAGACCAACACATGATTGAGTTTGGTTGATGACCAATTTGAGAGTACATAACTCATAATTATGTAAGAAATTGAGTGGTCACATATATCATATTCCTATGTTTGAGACTCTGTCTTTTCAAAGCATAATAACCGGGTTAGTGGTAGAGGTATGCTCTTGTGGTCATTGAGATTCACTTCAACTTAGTTGATCAATTTGAGACTCTTCTTGTTTGAAACTGTTGTTCATGCTCGTTTGTGTTTTCTTTTCTTTTCTTTTTGTTCAGGACGAACAAAGGTTTAACTGTGGATGAAATGTTTGTCACATTTTTGTTGCTATTTTAGTTATTGGTTTGCTTGTATTTTCCCCCCATTTTAAGTTTTTTTCTTAGGTGTTTTGATCCATTTAGTCGTTTGTAGCGCATTTTAATTTATTTTGGTTAATTTAGTGTTTTCTTTTGCCCGTATTCATGTATTTTTCTTGTCATTGGGGGTGTGTAGGTTCATAACATTAACAGGGTATTAGAATTTCAACCAATCTAAGGAGAAAATGGCCATCCCGATTGTGCGAGTGTATTCTCTAAAAGGTTGTGTTAGGGACGAGTAGAAAAAGATGGAACTCAATTCCGAGTCCATATGAGATATTCAATTATCCTTTATTTGGTAGGAGAGATATTCAATTATCATTTACTTGTTAGACAAGATTAGAGCTATTTTATGAGTTATATTTAAAGACTCATATTCTCTTGTATTTCAATGAATTGAATTTGATTAATAAAGATATTTCAGAGTCTTTCTCTTGTTTTATCCCATTCGTTATGCTTTCGCTACGTCAGTTGGTATCAGCAGACCAGTACGATTCACGATGCCGCCGAAAAAGAACGATGCTATAAACGACAGGCATGACGCTGTCATCAATGCATTGGGTCGGCAAGTTGCGGATCTGATCGCGGGCTTTAGGCGCAAATTCGATATGGTGGGTCGTCAAATTCTAGATCTGACTGCATGACTCAAGGACATCCAGTGGCTCTACGTACCACTTTTCATGGCAAACAAACGAACCGCGCGCCAGATGGAAGACTTGGCCGCCGTGGGGGAATAAATGGTTGACGCATTCAGGGCATACACGCGACGCCCCGCACCTGATCGTCTCAATTGTTTGTCGATGGTGGTGACTTTGGTGTCACCATATTCAAGGTATGTCCTTTTGGTAATATGGGGCACGGGACGAGGACTACTTTGACGACGCTCGACAATGGGAGGCTTCTTTTGGGTCGAAGTCTTGGAATTATCTGGCGGCTTTGAAGCCGTCGAGTTCTTGGATGACAAAAGGTCGACCGAATATGAGGATTCATCTCCTTTTGAGGACGAGAGGTCAGTCGAATATATGGGTCTGCCTAATTTATGTCGAGGGGTCGACCGTATGTGGGTCTGCTTCTTTTTGATGACGACGGGGTATACGAGGTCAGTGAGATAGATTGAGTGGTCAAAGGAGGAGATTGGGGCGTCCTTCAGACCAAAGAAGCGGCGACCGATGAAGTTGTTGGAGGGGCCGCTGAGGGTGAGGGCGAAGGCGAAGCTGACAGGTGTTGCAGAGCTTGCGTGAGGAGGGATAACTGCAGCCATTGGAGTCTAGTGAGCTACACAAAAAGCACTGTTCATATTCAAAGTACGAATTTATAGAAAAATTCTCCAATCAAGATTACAGTGTGACAACAAAAGCATTAAAAAAAGACTCAATCTTATAATAAGGAGTATACCAAGTTATCGCCCCATAAAATTGGTCTGGTCGGGATTGTGAAGCGGATGAAGACGATATTGCGTCGGAATCGAGGGCGAATCCTTTTCTAGAGGGGGAGAATGATGGAGATTAGGACATACATGATTTTTGGGATCTTTAATTTAATTATTTATTTATTGTAAGTATTTTAGTCCTAGATTTGTTAGTAAAGTTATTTAATTTATAGTCTTTTATTTAATAAGAAAGATATTCAATTACTCTTTACTTATTGACAAGATTAGGGCATTTTATGAGTGCTTTTTAAAAACTCATATTATCTTGTGTTTCAATGGGTTGAATTTGATTAATAAAGATATTTGATAGTCTTTCTCTTGTTTAAAGACTCATATTATTTCGTTCCCGCTTTTGCTACGTCAGTCTACCCATCACTTTCTCAAATATGTATGCTCAATGGAGCTTATCATTTCTTCCATTACTATTTCCTGGATTTCCATAGACTTTACATGCTAAATCAAGCTCTTATACAATGTGGAATCACTGACAAGAAATCACCACCAAAATTGTTTATGTATTATAGGAGCCAAAATGATTAAAAGAAACACACAGAGACACACCTCTCAAGGAAGAAGTTGTATCTCAACTCAAACCAATACAGTTTCAACACAAACATCGTGAAGTTAATATTTCCATGCAAATTTTGAGTTATCTCAGCTACTTCATCCCCTGTATCCTTTCGATATTCCAACGAATTAAGTATTAAAAACTTCTACCAATCAACGTAATAAAACACATGAATTAAGCAGTACATCATGAAATAGAAAATGAAACTTGATTTCTGCATTGGCAAGACCTAGATTTGATCAGTTAAAGAAGAAAACAAATCATGAAGATATAAAATTGGCAATAAGTTGTGAAGCCCTGTTTTGTTTTGTAAAAAGAGCAGAGCCATTGTCCCTGTTGTGGATAATTTTCCAAATAAGCTCATCAACTCCTTCAATGGACTTTTTTCTTTTTCTTTTTTTTTTTCTTCCACAGAAACACAATAAAAGTTGTGAAATTATATATATTAATTTCCGCTACAAGTGATTGAGTGAATGACTTTGGATGCCTTCCACCAAGAATCAGNGAAAGGGACTTCCTTTTTAGTTTTTACACAACAAAATCCACATTCAACCCTTCAAAACCCCTTAGGCCCAGATTCATTGAGAACAACAGGCTTATCGGCCATAGCCAAGCAATACTTTGCAATCTCCCTAAACTTGGGCACACTCCTCAGATCCACCTTCGTCCCATCCTTGAGGGTAATGATGACGTCACCCCATTCCCCGATAAACCTGGGCACAACCTGGACATCCTTAACGACATCGTACGAGAAGTCGCTCCTGTCCTGGCCCGTCAGCCCGGATATAACCGTAACCCTAAGGTTCGTGAATCTGTACCTCAGATAAAACGCCCTGAAAACTGCGGCGACAGTCAGCGGCAGCCAGAGGAGGGTGAAGCCCAGGAGGAGGTTCGCCAGGAGGTCGCCGTAGTGAGCTCCGCCGTCGAAAAAGATCGTTTCTTTGTTCTTCTTCCGAGAGGAGGCGGCATCGGCGGGCGCGGCGGAGGCGGCGGTTGCGGGATTGGAAGAGGACGAGACGTGGAGCTTGGTGAGTGGACGGGGGGACCGAGGGAAGGGCTTTGTGAGGAAGGGTTTGGGGATAAGGTGGGGGGAATGGTGGTGGGCGGCGGCGGCGGTGGAGATTGTGGTGGTGGCGGGTGAGGTGGCCATGGAGTTATCCGTCGGAGATATAATGAACAGTTTGGTTACTCGGGTGGCTTTTGGACATGTGGTTTTGGAAAATTTCGAGTGGCTGAGGACTAGCCGAGCTGACGTGGCGGATTTCTAGCTCAGAGCAATTTCAATTCTTTTCATCTATTAATTTATTACTAGTACAACACCATGTATTACCTGGTTGGGACGGTGCCTCATCCTGGATCGTTCATGGACCGATTCATAAAAGTGAGATCGGTATCCGGAAAGTCAAATCCAGGATCGCCCGGGATTGCGCTCACCCCTACCATAAATAATCAACATATTTAATCTGAACCTAAATGTTTTTGAATTAGAAGTAAATTAAATCTATTCAACCCTAATAACGAAGCATGTAATTTTGCCACATAGGATCCCGAAGCATGCGAGCCTGCCACATAAGCTCAGCACGTTCTGAATTAATATATAAGGGGGGATTAATGTTTCCTATTTTTTAATTTATAGTTACTATTTTTTTTTCGAAACAATAGAAGAACTCAATATTAATAGAAATAAATTTTACGTCGAAGCTCTAACTAGCCCATATAACATCAAAATACAAGGAGAACCACACCACCGTTGGCCAAGATCACCCACGGAATAAAGAACCTTCTAGTTATAAATTAAAGGCAAAATCGACGCATTGAGATCTCCAAAATACAACATCGAAGCAACCAACAAACAAGCTAAACAGAACAAAGAAAAAACTAGTTGATATGAAATATCATACTAGACCAGTTTTAATGGATAAGAAGGAATATACTAGGGAATAAACCTACACATAGACTATGACACATGTCATAATGGTATTGGTCAAGCCAAACTTGAACAATAAGTTACACTTCCCCTATAAAAAGGGTATAAGGTATTCCAAAAACACATTCTCTCTACATTCATTATTATACTCTACATAAGGTATTCCAAAAACACATTCTCTCTACATTCATTACTATACTCTCATATCAAATTTGGGCGTCGAGTTCTTGCAGGTACAGAGGCCGTTCAAGTTGAAGGAGCCCGGGTGAAGTCCATTTCACTAACAGTGCTGGTCACGCCTCTTCAAAGTTGTCTATAAACTTTTCTTAGGAGCTTTGTTCTCCATGGCTGAAGTTGTGAGATGGCTTTTTGAACGATGTCCCACAAATGGCGCCAAAATAGTGTGCAAACGACCTTCACCGGGTTCGCACGACCTGATCTGCTTTCTGACGTATTCGT